TTAGATTCTATTTTATAAATTTGGAGTTTTGATGGATGAATAATAATGTAGGGGAGGTGGGAAAGGGCCGGCAACGTTAATTTTGATTAAGATTTGAGTTAAAGGTGCTTTGCTTTCATTGTCAAAAATTCCATCATTTGAAGTGAAACTATATATGCAACAACCACACACTAGACACTACTATATACATAATTATCATGGATGTGAGGCCAAATGGAAAAAGACCCTTTATCAAACATTAATTACCTACATCAAATCAATTATTTAAACTACATCTTCATATCATATGCTTCCAATTCCGACTCCAATTAACATGGGCTTAATTATTGACATGTACATGTACGGCCCCCTTAATTAAGATGAGCTTTTCAATTCTGGATCTTGGGGGTAACAGTAATGTGAAAAAAAAAAAAAAATTAAACGTTTGCTTATCTGAAGCATTTATGATAAGTCGTTTTATTTTGAATGACAAGTCGGTTCAAATGTCTCTGTGAACAATAAGTAATACTGGGTCTATAATTTTCTCTCACAACCTCTGATGTGACCGTTCGTAATTGATCAGTTTGTAAATGAGACCTGCTTGCTTGCTATGGGTCGTGCCTACCCATTTTGGAGCTAACCTTTATGAGTTATCACGTCAATGGTTATGAAAGAAGCTTATAAAGCTAATATTACTGGTGAACAATATATGTCTTGTTTAAATAAGGTGTTTTATATGGTACAAGAAACATCATCTTGACGTTGATAGGATTAAAGCATGCCTGGCAAAAGGCCTAGTTTACCGCGTATCGTCCTTTATTGTATGGGTTCATTCATTATAGTGGGCCATTTTGGGTTCACTCTGCTTTATATGCGGCCCACTTGAATCTCATTTAAGTTTAAAGTTGAACCAACAATCAATCGTTCATATCATTATTTTTTTTAATGATTATTTATATCTTAATTAATTTTTTGAGACCCTAAAACTATTAACTAGATAAGAGTTCTAGTGACTATCCTTATTAGTAACCTAGGAGGAACTTAAACTTAAAATCTCTTGAATAATACACCAAAAAATCCCTATTAAATCATTCAGTCACCTAAAGGTTGGTTGTCTTCTTCGTTTACATTGAAGATTGAATTAGAGAACATGAACATGATATAAAATAAAATGACCAAAGTCCATTGCCGTATTAACATTTACGGAACAAAATTACATAATTCAAGAATTACATTACATAGATGTCGAAAAAGAGAACAAAAACAAAGTAAAAAAAGAAAGCTCAAAATTCAATCTTAACGATACATGACAAACAAGCAATTAATATCATACAAAATGAGATTGAAAACAGACAATTATGAAAAACACCACCATCTCCATTGATTTTTAATACCACCGTTCAATTCAAAAAATCACACACCCAATTTTCTTTTACTGTCATCGAGATAACATTGTTGCTGCAACCATAGCAAACCCGAACACAACCACATTTTGCACGGTTACCTTGAGACTCGAGGCACCAGATGTAGCCAATGTAGTATCATCAGGAGTGTCATCAGCACTACCAGCCTTCTTCTTAGGCTTTGCGGGTGCCGGTGCGGGTGCCGGGGGCTTAGCGCCAAAAAGATCCCAAGGAAGAAGCACTTTGTCAACTTGATAAACAGCAAGTTGACCATCAGTATATACGGTGCCAGAAACACTCGTGTTGGTAATGCCGGTTGATATATTCACTGAATTGCCGAAAGTGGTGACGTTGAGTGGATATTTGTATGGGCTACTATCTCCGGCGTTTGTTCTGATCGGATTGCTCATAGTTTGGAACTGGGATACAGTGATGTACGAGGGGATTACATGAAACTGAATCAATGCCACCTTTTGTTGATCGTTTAGGGAGTTGAGAGTGCCGGAGCTGAGGCCAGCAAATGCGTTATCACTCGGCGCAAATAGGGTCATTCCATTGTTTGAGTCATTGAGTTGGTGATCGATCTGATCAGCAACTGAAGTGGCCTTCATGAGCCGGATAAGAAGCGTAAATTGGCCAGCTTTTTCCAGGATTTTTGTGACGTTTGTTGGGCCAGCTGGAGCTGGAGCTGCAGCCGGCTGGGCAAGAGTAGTGGTGGAATGTAGAAGAAAGATGAGAAGCGGTGATAAATGGAACAGAGGTTTTTTCATGACCATCTTTGTAGTATTTGACGTTTAATATAAGAAAGAATGGAGTTTGAACAAAGTTTTGGATGAATACTGAGAACAGAGTGGGCGGGTTTTATTATAGAGGGAAGATAATCAAGTTAGGTGAAATGTATCGTTTTAGTTATAAAATCTTAGCTGTTGGCAACTTTAATTTTCTAGATTGGTGGAGGGAATCAATGGAGAGAGAGATCATGAACACTGTTGCAGCGACTAGATTGCTTGAAAAAGCAGAAAAACTGGAGATTTCAAGTAGTTGTGTTGGCAAATAAAGATGAATATGATAGCTTTTACTTTCACTTGTATAAATATACCGCGTAAAAATGGGCGTTGCTTGCTTGCCATAACCTTAAGAAAGAAGTTTCTTTTGTTCTACTTCAATTCCTGCAGGATCAGTATTTTCATGAAATATGGATGGAGATTTATGAGATGGGGACAGTGGCCCAACTTCATGAATACTAATGTCTATCTTCATGAAAATCATGCTCTGCAATTGTCAACGGTTATGGGTCATCTGGGTCCCTAACTATTTGATTGGAGATGGTCCACAGTCCACATAATTAGCCTGGAAGTTGAAGTGTTTAGTCTTTGTTTCGACAGCTCATTATGATTTCTGATTAAACACAGTCTGATATTCAGATATGTACTAAGTTCAATTATAAAAGCAAATGTACCACCTATAGAAATTGCTTCGACAATCTAGAAGGTATGAAACAGGCATATGAAAGTAATTTTGGCTTCAAAAATCAATGAATGAATCAATATTTTTCTTTCAGTTTGAGCAATCACAACCAGTGACAAGTATCTGCATTTGTGTAGATTTGGATATAGCACTAAGAAATTAAAATTTTATTTATGCCTTTACTCCAAAGCTGTTGGCCTGTTAACACTCTAAAGTGATTGTCTACCAATAATGTAGAAGTTATTTTTTCTTCTGCAATATTGCTGATATCTTCGTTCTGCTAAATCTGTAGCATTACCCACCAGGAAAATTTTCCCCTTTTCTGATTCTACTCTTTTATTTCACATGCGGCAATGTCCATTCTGCATCAGCTATCTTTAATTATCAATTGGTAATCAAATAATGGAAAGAGTACAAGTGGTGCTTGCTTTTGAAGATTTGGGTAGTTTGTGAGTAAACTCATGTTTGGTATACAATCTGTGGACTCCATCCACCAATTAATCAAATAGGCTGATTGCCTTTATAATTGATGGAACCGCAGATAGAAGCAGCATGAAAAGACTGACTATGAGTCTGGTATTTTAGCTGTGTATACAGCGTTCTTGGATTCCGGGTGAAGTATTTAACAAAACATAACATAGCAGGTGAAAATGAAGGCAATGGAGGCTACTGCTAATTATTCCACCACAACTGAGCTCTTTGTGTGAGCATTGCTTATACGTAAAGATCATCTCAAGATGTTTAAGTCAAAGTACAGAGATGAATTGGTGGTGGAAACCTCATTTTAACTTGTGATAATACACACTTTAATCATTTAATACTGTAATCATTGATTAAGAAAATGTAACACAAAGCAATTATAGATTAATTACTTTTGATATTGATTAATTGGTAGGTGTGAAATATTTATAATATCTTCCATTTCCATCTTGGTGTATACTAAATTAAGTTTATGCAATTACTCTCATATGAACAGTAAATGCAACTAGAAATAAAGTAAGGCAACCTTACCAGATTCACATTATTCACTCATGCTCATTGCTCAATACAGCAGCCCAATTCCGTGATGGGCCTTCATTTTCAAGGCTCATGCGAGGATCCCATGAATATCGGGCTCGATTGTCATGTAGCCTTAGAAACTATGTTGGGCTTTTACAGCTGAAGAGATTTCAGTGTTACATAAATGAAACAAATTGCAGAACAAGCCAGGGAATATCAAACAGAAGCTGACATGTTGGATTGGAAATTAAGCGCTCACCATCACCATGTCGATTAATTGTGAAAGAACTTGGACCCAGCTCAGCTCATCATTCCTTTTCTTATAAAGAAAATGTTATAGCTGCAACCATTGCAATCCCACTGAATATCTCGAGACTCATTGCACCAGAGGCATTCACTTTATCATCATTGGGATTATCTGCAAGAGAATCATCAGCATCGTCACTGTTCTCCTTCTTAAGTTTTGTTGGTGAAGGTGCCGGTGCTGGAGGCTTGGCGCCGAAAATGTTCCAGGGAAGAAGCACTTTGTCTACTTGATAAATTGCAAGTTGCCCATCACGATATACGGTCCCTGACAAACTAGTGTTGGTAATGCCTGTTGATATATTCACTGAATTTGGATAAGCGGTCACATTAAGCGGAAATGTGAGTTTACTCGTATCTCCAGCATTTGTTCTTACTGGATTACTCACAGTTTGGAACTGTGATAGAGGGGTGTATGAAGAGAGTACATGAAATTGGACCAATTCTTCCCTTGTTCATCGTTCTAGGAGTTGAGAACGCCTGAACTAAGACTAGAAAACGCACTATCAGATGGTGCAAAGATGGTCATGCCGTTGTTTGGGTCATTGAGTTGTTTCTCAATCTGGTCAGCCAGTGAGGTGGATTTTAGGAGTCGAATGAGGAGCGAAAATTGCTTGGCTTTTTCAAGGATTTTGGTGACGTTTGGTGGGACCAGATGGACCTGGACCAGCAGCGGGAATCAGTGGAGTTATACTCTTAGGGAGAGGAGGAGATGCGGTGGGGCTGGGTGGAGTTGGCGGAGCTACAGAAGAAGCTGCCGGCTGGGTTAGAGTAGGAGAAAGAGGAGGAGAAGTGAAAAAAAAAAAGACAAGAAAGATTGTTTCATCATCATCTTTGTAGTATATTGACTGTTGTAGCTAAAAGCAATGCAAATGCAAGAAGAATTAATGGCTTTGCAGAAAATAGTGCAAATGTACACTTTTCTGAAAGTGTTTGATGAATTTCGAACTAGGGGAGAAGGTATTTATAATGGTTGTAAAAGGATGAAATTAGGTGAAATGGGGATTTTAAGTTACAAAGACCTTAGTTATTATCAATTAGCAACACAATCTTTGTTATATAGGTGGAGGGAATCGATGGAGAGAGATATTATAGTGCAATCTGCAGCCGCAACCAGTTTGCCTGAAGAGGCAGGAAAAATGTACAGAAGAGATTTCAAGTTGGTGTGTGGGCCAAAAAAGATGGACATGATAGCTTTCTTTTCACTTGCAGATATCTTCCTGGTAAAAATGTTAGGAGTTATTGCCACAACGGCGAAATGTTTCCTTTGCTCTATTTCTGGCAAGAATATTGAACGACATGTTGAACTATAATCAGGAATGTTACACGATATTTTATCATTCAAATGCCACAGTCTGAGTTCCCGTTTATTGAAATTCAGTATTGGCTTATGATTTATGAATATACTCTAAAATGTCTTCAAGAAAAAAAAAAATATTTAATTGTCCTGAACCTGCTAAAAACTTGAGTTTATCCTAACTCTGCTTCCCTCTTTTTGTTCTATGTGTGCATGTCTTGGTCTTTGCTCCTTTTTTTTTTTTCCCATTGAACACTCTACAAGTTCAAAGGATCAGGTAAGTTACAATATTATTATGGTAGGTGACCATAAGATTTGAACCCTGAAACTCAAGGAGGGGAACAAACCTCTTTAACCGATAAGCCAATCCTTGAGGGTTTTTGTCTTTGCTCTTTTTGTTCTACTCATTCTACATCATACCCTTTAGCCTGCAACTGTTCTTCTAATTCTACATGCGCCAATGTTAAATTCCTTCTCATTGCAAATTTCACAGAAATGACAAACATTTAACCTTTCATCAGCTATTTTTACCGATTAGTAATAACTCAGTTCGTAAAGAATTTGGGTAGTGTATCAGAAAATCTATGGTTTCCTTTATCATGGATGGAATGGACAGTTAGTCCCATCCTCAAATGCTTTTCTAAAGGTTGAGAGTGTCCTACTGCAGATATAATTCGAAAATGGACTGATTAATTAGTGAGGTTCAATCTGATGTATTAGGAGATTGAGGCGTCATTCATGGAAAGAGATAGTGGACCAATATTAAGGTGGCAGTTTCGTAAGCTGTCATAGTACAACTTATTCATTAATTCCAAATCTATCTTATAAATATGTGATATTGAAAAAGTAAAAAAAGAATAGTTTAAGATGACTCCGACGAGGTTTCCAAAGATTGCATCACCCCAAACCCGGAGGTAATATATGGGTTTTAGTTTATTCACTAAAGATCAGAAAGAAGAGAAAAAAGGGGTGTCAAAATATAGTTGAGTTCTGTCATTCTTATAAAGTTTATGAAACAGCTAATGGTGGATTCATGTAATAGCTGAAGAAGATAGGAACATGAGATGGGAAAATATAGAACAATATATAAGAATAATAGGAAAGTATCTCCAATTTCAAAAGCAAATAACGAACAAATTCATCAATGAATTGGATTGGACAATTACTCGAAAGCTTTCACCATGTCCATTTATTATCGATCACCACCATTCAATCGGACTCTGCATAATCATAACCAATTGCCAGAAAGGAACTTCTACCGTGTCTATCACACCTTAACGCACGGAAATGCTTTTACTTTCTCATGACGAAAATATTGTTGCTGCAACCATGGCAACCCCTGAGAAAACCATGGTATGCATACTGATAATCATGAGACTCATCGCATCAGATGCGTTCACTGTATCTTCACTTGAACTATCTGTAACACTATTATCATCAGTAATGCTGTTATCGTTCTCCTTCTTACGTTTTGTTGGTGAAGGTGCCGGTGCTGGAGGCTTGGCGCCAAAAATGTTCCAGGGAAGAAGCACTTTGTCTACTTGATAAATAGCAAGCTGCCCATCACTGTATATGGTACCTGACAAACTAGTGTTGGTAATACCTGTTGAGATATTCACTGAATTTGGATAAGTGGTCACATTAAGCGGAAAGGTGTATTCACTTGTGTCTCCAGCATTTGTTCTTAGTGGGTTACTCACAGTTTGAAACTGTGATAGTGGGATGTATGAAGAGATTACATGAAATTGGACCAATTCTTCCTTTTGTTCATCGTTCAAGGAGTTGAGAACGCCTGAACTAAGACTAGAAAACGCACCATCAGTCGGTGCGAAGATGGTTACCCATTGTTTGAGTCATTGAGTTGTTTCTCAATCTGGTCAGCGACTGAGGTGGATTTTAAGAGACGAATAAGGAGCGAAAATCCCTTGGCTTTTTCAAGGATTTTGGTGACATTGGTGGGGCCAGATGGACCTGGAGCCGCAGCGGGTACCAGTGGAGCTGGAGGTGTGGCGGTAGGGAGGGGAGGAGCTGGAGGAAATGCGGTGGGGCTTGGCGGATTTGGAGAAGGTAATGGAGCTACGGTTGGCTGAGCAAGAGTTTTGTTGCAATAGAGGGAAAAGAGTATGATAATTGAAAAAGCGAAGAAAGATTGTCTCATCATCATCTTTGTTTTATTTCGAGCGTTGTAGCTAGCCTTTTTTACAACAAAACAACGCAATTGCTTTATGAATTCCCAACGAGGAAGACGGTATTTATAATGGCTGTAAGAGTACATAATTAGGTGAAACGTGAAATTTTAGTTAGCAAAACCTTAATTTTTATCAACTCAATCTTTGTAGGTGAAGGGAATCCATGGAAAGATATAAGATACTGCAATCTGCAGCGGCAGCTAGTTTACTAGAAAAGGCAGGATTACGATTTCAAGTTGGTGGGCGGGCCAATAAGTTAAGATGCACACATGATAGCTTTGTATTCACTTGATCATATGTTCTGGGTAAAAATATTGAATTGCTTATTTCCAGAATGGCAGAACCTGAGGTAAGATGTTCAACTTGCTCTACATCCTGCAAGAGAAATGAGTGGCATGTCGAACCATATAACAGGAATTTTATCAATTATACACACGTTAGTTTCAGGCTCCCATTTCATGAATTTCTTTAGTGTTTCATCATATATTAAAGTCTTGATTTTAAGACTAGACAGAGGAAACATAACGGCAGTATTCCCATTTCACTGGATCTGGATACAGAAACACTAAGAAATTAGATTTTTTTGTATGTATTTGTTCAAAAGCAATTAGACTGTTATCTCCCAAGTTATTGTCTATCCATTTTTTTCACCCTTTGTTCTGTTCATTCCATAGCATATGCTTAAGCCTGAAATTTTTCTTCTTGTTCTACTCTTCACATGCCCCATTGCTGCCTTCTCATGATAGCATTTAGAGAGAAAACTAACATTTACTTTGCATTATCTATTTGTACCAATTGGTAATTAAAGAATGAAAAGATCAACTAATAGTAGAATAACGCAGTTCGTGAAGAATTTTGGATACAATTTGAGAAAATTTATGTTTACAGTACTCTGCAGATTCTATCACCAAGCACTCCTAACTGCCTTTATCTTGGATGAAACCTCTGTTATGCTGAAAAGCATAACCTCCCTGTAAGGGCTGGCTGAGTCTGGTTTTTTTCCTCAATCGAATCGTCAATTCTTTACGTATAGTTTTGGTTTGAGAGTCAAGTATGTAACCATCAATGCCTACTGCATAGATACATAATTCAAAAGATGGCCTAATGAGTTTCATTATGCAATTGATCTGCTAAATTACAAGATAGAGGATTTATTCAAGGAAAGAAGGTAGTGAATCAATATGGTGGTAGATCATATTGTCCTTCACAGGGAACTTGAAACACTCGAGTTTTGAGTGAACATGTCAGCATTGCAACTTAAAACACAATAAAGGCTACTGCCAACACCTCCAAAACTATGTAATTGACTGTCAGCCAAAATAGATTCTATATAGTTTCTGATGACACAACCTTAATCTCTCGAACTCTTTCTTATCATGACTGAGAATTTAAACATCTGCTATTAAAAAGGAAATGAGAGAGAAACAGATACGTTTTCTATACTGTCTCAATGACAAAATCAATATAAAGTAAGCAAAATGAATATAGTTCAAAATGTCATTCAATTTTTCTGCAAGATGTAGAGCAAGTAAATGTGAATCTTCTTTCCTCAGGTTGAGCTATTATAGTAATAAGCAACTCTAAGTTTTTACCAGTAAGTTTTTCTCCTGCAATTGAAAATAAAAATAAAAGAAAAAGAAAAAGCTATAATGTCCATCTTATTGGCCCACCCATACAAAACACTCGAAATGTCTTCTGTTCTGGTTTTTCCTGCCTCTTTAAGCAAACTAGTTGCCGCCACAAAATCATCCATCTCTCTCTGTCGATTCTCTCTACCTTTATAACAAAGATTGAGTTACTACTAGATAACTACTAAACTTTTGCTAACTATAACTCTACATTTTACCTATTTTCATCCTCTTTTAACTATTATAAATACCTTTTCCCCTTGTTCCTAATTCATCAAACACTTTCAGCCAACTCTGGTCCTGCATTGTTTTCTAGAAAGTATTTACTAGCTAAGATCTCGCAAAATACAAAAAAGATGATGAAACAAAGTTTCTTCTCCTTTTCAATTCTCCTCCTCTTTCTCCTCCAATGCACCACAACTGTAGCCCAGCCAATCCCAGCTCCATTACCTCCTCCAACTCCACCAAGCCCTACCGCATCTCCTCCAGCTCCACCACTCCCCACCAGCTCACCTCCAGCTCCACTGGTACCCGCTGCTGCTCCAGGTCCATCTGGCCCCACCAATGTCACCAAAATCCTTGAAAAAGCCAAGGGATTTTCCCTCTTTATTCGTCTCTTAAAATCCACCTCAGTGGCTGACCAGATTGAGAAACAACTCAATGACTCAAGCAATGGCGTCACCATCTTTGCACCAACTGATGGTGCGTTTTCTAGTCTTAGTTCAGGCGTTCTCAATTCCTTAAACGACGAAGAAAAGGAAGAATTAGTCCAATTTCATGTAATCTCTTCATACATCCCTCTGTCACAGTTTCAAACCGTGAGTAACCCACTAAGAACAAATGCAGGAGACACAAGTAAATACACCTTTCCACTTAATGTGACCGCGTATCCAAATTCAGTTAATATCTCAACAGGTATTACCAACACTAGTTTGTCAGGTACTGTATACAGTGATGGGCAGCTAGCAATTTATCAAGTAGACAAAGTGCTTCTTCCCTGGAACATTTTTGGCGCCAAGCCTCCAGCACCAGCATCTTCACCAACAAAACGTAAGAAGGAGAGCGATGATAGCACTAGCGATGATACTACTGTTACAGATAGTTCAAGCGATGATATAGTGAACGCCTCAGGTGCAATTAGTCTCAAGATCACGACCATGCAAAATATGGTTTTCTCTGGGGTTGCCATGGTTGCAGCAACAATATTTTCGTTATGACTGCAATAGAATTTTTGTGCGTTAAGGTAGAATTTCCTTTCTGGTAATGGGTTATGATTTTGCAGAGTCAGATTGAATGCTGTTGATCGACAATAAATGGACATGGTGAGCTCTTTCCAATAATTGTCCAGTCTTATTTATGAACATCTTTGTTTGATTTTTTTTCATATTTCCTTTGAACTTTAAGGGTTTTTTTTTTTTTTTTTCAATTTTAGTGACATGACATTACGACTGTACAAATGATATGTTTTATGTGTGTTTTTTTTTCCCCAAGATATATGAATATATTAAATTGTTTTGGATGTGTCAGCCCATCAAGCCTAATAACCAACTAAACATTATATAGCCTGCTGGTTTAACTTAATGCTAGTTGGATTCACGTTTTAAATCCACCTTATAAGAAAGACTATCAAATAAGATATCCCACTTTGTAAAAAGAACTGTTCTATGAACTAGCTTATTCTACGAGCTAGTACAGACCATAGTAAGCCCTCTCCACGAGCTGAACTACTCACGAGCTTTCGCGTTTACTCTTCTTGTGTCTATAAATCTACGATATTATCAATGGCCTCACCTTGACTATTTTACCATCTATAATACCCAAATGTCTCTTTGTCACTCCAAGTTTATAGAGTTGATCAAGGACCAGTCCCAAACAGGCCTAAGCCTGAGCCTCTTTGAGACTCATCTCAAATGGGACTAGTCGCTCATGATCCCAGGCCCATGAGCAATTTTAAGACTTAGACCGGTCCTTAGGACTGGTCCTATGAGCCTAAAAAAATTCTTTTTTCCCCTCGATTTTTTTTATATTTTAGGGAGAAAACAAAATTTTATATAGGGTTTTTAGTATTTTTCAAAAGTAAAATTTATAAATTTTTTAGGTCCTGGAATTTTTTTTTAAATAAATTTAGTAAAATTTTTTTTAACCCCTATAATTTATATTTATTTCAAAACTTATAAGGGTTTTACGTAATTATACAAGAGACTAAAACGAAAATATGTAAAAAAATTAGGGTCTTAGCTTGAAAGAGGGCCCAGTGGAGGGACAAAGCCCTCCTCCTTAGGCCTGGTCCCCTCCTAAGACCGACCAACTTTTTGGGCTAAATTTTTAGACCTAGTCTCAAAAGCCCACCTCCTAAGTTTACATACAACCGCATTTTCCATCTTTTTTTGCCTGGCAATTAATCAAAGAATGAAAAGAGTATTTAGTGCTACAATTTGGGTAAGTCGGGGTAAATTTTATCCCAATGAGGCCCCTTAATTCGCAACATGAGGCAGTTTTTTTTTTTTTTTTTTTTGTTTTACTGTCGAACCACTGTCAAGTGTCTAGAGGCGACTAGCCCCTTCTAATCTTTTGCATAAGAAAGATTTACTCCCAAAGTGCATGCTTAAGTGACAAGTGGCTAGGGGCTCTACCCGCTCTACCCCCTCTCACGGCGAGGATTTCCGTAGCCAACTGTGACACCTTATATGCTAGCCTAAAACCCAACTCAAACCAGAGGCGCTCACATAAGAGAACAACAGAACACAAGATTTTTGCTTACCTAAAACCCAGAAACAGTTGTTGAAATTTCCCTTAACATATTTCTTATTATTTATCCTTTATTATCATAATTTTTTTTCCTTTAAGCCCATCCAAGAAACAGGCTGTTGTAGATTGGTGTGAAGAGTACATGACCTTAGCGCTTCAGCTTCCTCCTACACTTTGCATCTTCAATCTTTAATCCTCTTCATCAATTCTATAAGGAAAGCAGTTAAACATAAGATAAAGTTAAATTTCACAGGAACCACTATTACAATAACTCACAACAAACACTGTTCACCACTAAATCAGACAGCGAGAAACAAAATCCCACTCTAAAAACCCATAACAAGCCACATGATGAACAATATTACAAAAAAGCAACAAAATTTATTAATCTTCGCCCGTAATTTCAACTACTCTAACATTCTGATTTGTCGAGTTCCTCTTGGAGACAGTTACAGTGAGCACGCCATGATTCATCGAAGCATTAACTTGATCCACCAAGGCATTCTCAGGGAGCTTAAACCGGCTCATGAACTTGCCGTCGTCACTGCTTATCTGAAGCATGTTGTCCTCATCAACATAAACTACGACTTCATCTTTGGTAAGTCCGGGAAGAAAGGCCTGGAACACATGAGCTCTTGGAGTTTCTTTCCACTTGATTTGGGATCCAAGAGAGGGGAAGAATTCCTGAGAAAATGAAGGAAAGTGAAAAGGAAAATCAGTGAACGGGTCCCAAAGGTCAAGAGAAAAAGGGAACCCTCCTGGGAAATTCTTGAACGGTTCCCATACGTCTGAGGGGAAGGGGGTGGCGATTGTGCCATGGTGATCACTGATTGGAACGATTGACATGTTCTGTGCTTCGGTGAAGGGAAAGTGTTTGGTTTGCGAGAAATAATAAGCAGAAAAGATAAAGTGTGATTTATGGCACACTGGCACCTTCCAGAATATGTCTCTTTTTTTTTTTTTTTTTCCAGAATATGTCTCTTTTTATCTTCCAGAATATGTGTGATGGCTTATAAACGTTCTGTCCCTGAGGTTTCTGTTTCGTAATAATTCTTCCACATACTTTTTAAATTCTCAATTACCTCCCTCAGCAGTCCTAAATGTATCATTAAATAAATGACGATTAAACTTTACGTTTAAGATAAGATCACACACATTGACCTTTATTTATTTATATTAACATATAAATTCCTTACAATCTTACATTAAATGAGAAAAACAAACCATTGAAACATCTTTATCCCTAATACACATGCATCTAAAAAAAAGTGCCGCACATAATAGATTTATAGTACATTTTCAGATGTTACATCACTGAAAATGAAAAAAGAAAATTAATAAAAGAAATCCTCAAAACTCAAACATAAACAAGCAATTAATATCAAACAAATTCCCAAAGGACTGATCGAAATGGAGAATTACTTGAAAGCTCTCACCATGTCGATTTATTTTCCGTCACCACCCTTCAATCCGACTCTGCAAAATCATAGACTACTACTCTTATAGCACACATTTCTTTATGGTCGTCATAGAGACAATACTATTGCTGCAACCATGGCAACCCCCGAGAAAACCATATTCTGCATGGTCATGATCTTGAGGCTAATTGCACCTGAGGCGTTCACTTTACCATCATCACTTGAACTATCTGTAACAGTATTATTATCATCGCTAGGGCTATCATCGTTCTCCTTCTTACGTTTTGTTGGTGAAGGTGCCGGTGCCGGAGGCTTGGGGCCAAAAATGTTCACGGGAAGTAGAACTTTGTCTAATTGATAAATTGCAAGCTGCCCATCACTGTATACGGTACCAGACAAACTAGTGTTGGTAATACCTGTTGATATATTCACTGAATTTGGATAAGCGGTCACATTAAGCGGAAAGGTGTATTTACTTGTGTCTCCTGCATTTGTTCTTAGTGGGTTACTCACGGTTTGAAACTGTGACAGAGGGATGTATGAAGAGATTACATGAAATTGGATTAGTTCTTCCTTTTGCTCGTCGTTCAAGGAGTTGAGAACGCCTGAACTGAGAGTAGAAAACGCACCATCAGTTGGTGCAAAGATGGTAACGCCATTGCTTGAGTCATTGAGTTGTTTCTCAATCTGATCACCGACTGAGGTGGATTTTAGGAGACGAATAAAGATGGAATATCCCTTAGCTTTTTCAAGGATTTTGGTGACATTGGCGGGGCCAGATGGACCTGGAGCAGCAGCGGGTACCAGTGAAGCTGGAGGTGAACTTTTAGGGAGGGGAGGAGCTGGAGGTGAACTTTTAGGGTGGGGAGGAGCTGGAGGAGATGCGGTGGGGGTGGAAGGAGTTGGAGGAGGTAATGGAGCTGGGATTGGCTGGGCTACACTTGTGGTGCAATGGAGGACAAAAAGGAAGAGAAGTGAAAAGGAGAAGAAAGTTTGTTTCATCATGTTTTTGGTATTATGAGAGTTTAGTTAAGCTATTTTCTAGAAAACAATGCAAGACTAGAATTGGGTGAAAGTGTTTGATGAATTCGGAACAAGCGGAGGAGGTATTTATAATGGTTGTAAAAGGATGAAATTAGGTAAAATGTGAAGCTTTAGTTAGCCAATTAAACTTTAGTTTTTAGCAAATAGCAAGATCAATCTTTTATTAGATAAGGTGGAGGGACTCAATGGAGAGACATGATCCTGTGGCGGCAGATAGCTAGTTTGCTTTCAAAATCAGGAAAATAAAAAACAGAAAATACGCCAAGTGGGTGTGTGGGCAAATTTAATAAAGATGGACATGATAGCTTCGCTTTCAGTTACCCATGACATTTAACATATCTTCTGGGTAAAATTTTGAGTTTTTCTGTTGCCACAATGGCTCAGCTATTATCAGGAAAGAAGTTCCATTTGCTGTACTTTGTTGCAAAGAGGATTGCATGGAGATTGATGGTGATTTGTGAGATGAAGAAGAGCCCCAACCTAATGAATGATATCCTCTATCTTAATGAAAATTATCTGAGAGTTATATGTTGGATGGTACTCCACTTAAGCATGGAAGTTGAAATGGTTCATCTTGATGTTATTTTTCCTTTTATATATCCTAATTTTTAAATTCCAGATGAGATGTGAGCTGGGTTTGGCCCCATCTGTACTTTTGTTGGAACTAAACTATGTTTAGCACTTAGGATAATTACATGCCAATAATTGTGGGAACAATGAGGTCGCTCCAAACGTATAATTGTAAATTGTGAAGGTGAAAACTGAGAGCGACTGACTAATTGTGACTTTGATGGGCTGCAAATTCACTTTCAATTAGAACAAGATGTTTAGTATGCTAGCTATGAATTCACGTCAATTTTCAGGAATTTGTTTTTTATATTACATTTTTACTTTACTATCTAAATTTATATTTCGTTTCCGATTTCGGTATCGTTCAACCCCACACCATCATCATTCTCTTCTTCGATCATATCGATCTTAATTGTCGACAATCGAGCGATTATGGTTTACGCAACTGCCCCTCCCAAGCCAAATTCTAATCAATTCCAACCATTAAAATCCAACTTTCTTCCACCACCAAAAGACTCATCAGCCATCCATCTTCAAAAACCCCAACAGTTTAGACTAAGTTTACTCTCTGTTCACTATTGGAATATAAATTTGAATAATAAAATGGTATTTTAAAAGTCTGTGGGTGAAAATGTGTCATTGAGCCATTATTTGGATGGGAAAAAGTAGTGGTTAACTCTATTCTAAAGCCTTATGGCCCTTATCTAGGTGAAGCTTTTGCTTGAACATACGAACTATAACAAAATTGCTCCTTCATTTGAACCGGAATAAAGGTGGAACAAATGGGCCGGGTTAGGCGGGTCAACCCTAACCTGGCCCGCATTGGAGAGGGTTCAACCCGCATGCAACCCCTGGGCGGGCCGGGTTGCTATTTGTTTACAATAGCCAATCCGGCGAGTTGCCCCAAAAAAAATAAAAAATTAATTATTTTTTTCAAGTTTCCCCCATTTTTTTAATTCTTTTAATTAAATTATTATAATTGAACTTCTACAAATAATTTTACACAATAATATTAAACTATACTTCTAAATCATAAATATTAAAATGTATAAAACTTCGTAATATTTGACACATTGTTATTATTATTTTTTATGGTACGTAAAATATAAAAAAATTAATTACTGAAGTCTTATTTTTAAATTTCTATATCTTGTATAAAATATAATTCATTCTTATGCTAAAGTTTCATCAATTGAATGAATAATCTAATTTTTCTTATATTAAATTTTATTGTATTAAAATTGAATTAATATTTGAAATGTTAATAAAAAAAATTAATTTAATTATTGATATTTGAAAAGTTAACTAAAAACAATTACATTTATTCATTTATAAATCGTTAATTATTTATTTGAAAAGTTAATTAAATAAAACAAAATCAAAAATTAAAAATTCAAATTCAAAAAAGGGGGTTAATCCGGCCCGACCCGCAACCTAACCCGTCGGGTTAGGGTTGGCGAGCCGGGTTGGGCCAGCCATTCCCGCAAACATGGCAGGCCTAACCCAGCCTGCCTTTGTTGGCGAGCGGGTTAGGACCAACCCGCCAAAAGTAGTAACCCGCCGCAGGCCGGGCGGGTTACTTTTCCAACTCTAAACCAGAATCGGAGCAATTATAATTTGGTAATAATATATTTAAAAAAAAAAAATTGTGAAGCAAAATTCCATATTCGCATTGTAAGAAACAATTTTTAATCTTCCTATGCTTGTCTTGAATGATGTCTATTGAAATAAAAACCCAACACACTTTTAACCACAAGAAATATGTCACATTAAACTAAGTATTATATCCATCTTCATTTGCCCACAGACTGCAGGCCCACCTGAATCTTCTGTTTTTCCTGCCTTTTCAAGCAAATTAACTAGTTTCTGCAATTGTATCATCCCAATATCTCTCACCATTCTAACAAAGATGGAGATACTACTTGACAACAACTATGGTTGCTAACTAGATCAGCAGACTTTATCAAACTCCATCTTTGACACCATTATAAAAACGCTTTCTCCTCCTTCCAAATTCATCAAACACTTTGTGTAGAGTGCTAGAGTCCAGTCTTATATCAAACATTTGCATTATTTTCTATCAACAAAGGTTGAAACAATCAAAATACTAGAAAGAAGATGATGAAACAAATTTTCGTCTCTTTTTCACTTCTCCTCCTCTTTCTCCTTCATTGCACCTCAACCCAAGCCCAGCCGGCTGCTGCTCCAGCTGCACCAACTAAACCAACTCCACCAAGCGCCTCTACCATAGCTCCAACTCCACCGAGTCCAATGACCCCAATCGTAACCATAAATCCACCCCCTATTGGAGCTCCAATTCCGTCTGGCCCCACTAATGTCATCAAAATCCTTGTAAAAGCAGGCCGCTTTACTTTCTTTATTCGCCTCCTTAAATCCACCACTGTCATTAACCAAATCGAGCATCAAATCAATAGCACAAACGGTCGCCTCACTATCTTTGCACCAACTGATGGTGCCTTTTCTAGTCTCAGTTCAGGCACTCTCAACTCCCTCACCGATCCACAGAAGGAATCGTTGATTCAGTTTCATGTAATCTCTTCGTATATCTCGTTATCACAGTTTCAAACAGTGAGTAATCCATTGAGAACAAATGCGGGAGATAATAGTAGATACAGATATCAGCTTAATGCCACCGCTTATCCCAATTCAGTGAATATATCAACAGGCCTTACTAACACTAGTGTAGCTGCTATCGTATACTCTGATGGTCAGCTTGCCATTTATCAAGTTGATAAGGTGCTTCTTCCTTGGGAAATTTTTGGAGCTAAACCTCCAGCAACTGCTCCCGCACCGGGACCTGATCAAAAACCTAAGAAGGAGAAGCCTGCGGCTGTTGCATATAGTCCTGATGATAGTAAAACAGATGCCGCCGATGCCTCTGGCGCGGTGAGTCTCATACTGACCGTGCAAAATATTGTGGTATTGTTTGGGGTTGCTACGGTTGCACCATTAATTTTTTAGTTCATTGGGTCCGTTTTCCCTAATGGACTGGAGTATGATTTGCCGGATTGAACGATGGTGATTGAGTCTTCCTTTTTTCCAATAATGTGCAGACTTGCAGAAGCCATGCTTGTGTTTGCAGTATTATTTTTATATTGTTCTCTGTTATCAGTAAAAAAGTCTTGGTGCTTTGAGTTTTTGCTGCCAATTTTTCATAAACATGTAAGAAATTGTATGAAATCATTTTGATGTTTTTTTGTGCTTTTATTTTGGGAAACACTGATTCTCATTTTTTTTTTTTTTTGCTTGTGAATTTTAATATGAACAAGGTTACACTAGCTTTCTTAATTAAAATATAAATTAGACGGTTAATATTAAATTTGGACTTTAGAAGGTGAAATTATTGAAACAAAAATATTAATGAAGAGAATTGTAATAAGAATAGAAAATTACAAAACCAAACGACACGTCCCTTTTTTACCTATAGCAAATACCACATAGGTACGAAAATATTTGTTTCTCTATTTTGGAAAACCCCATCCAAAATACATATTTGTTTTCTTATTCTGAAAATTTAATTATATTTCATTCAATTGTTTTTAAACTCCTTATGTTTGTTAATTTAACTAAACAACCCAAAAAAAAATTTTAATTAACAAAAACACCCCCATCCGCTATTATAGCGACTTCCGCCCACCCTCCGACGGTGGTGGCCTACTGGCGGCATTTAATGGGTGGGTGAGGGTGTTATTGTTAATTTTTAATATTTTATTATAAGGGTATTTAGTAAATTAACAAACATAGGGATGAGTTTTTGTTAATTTTTAAATTCTACCTCGTAATAACCACCCAACTCAACTTTTTTAAAAATCATATCTAAAATAATAAACAAACACACCCTATACTATTATGAATGATATTTGCTGAACTAAAGGGGTTTAATTGATATTCATCAAAAAAGTATGACATCTCGTCTCTCTATAACCGATTAATCGTCATGTTGTCCATGATAAACAACCATTTATTTTATGTATAGCCGATACACGACATGTCGTCCATGATGAACAACATTTTGTTTATGAGTAATGCTAACTTTATACCAGTTTTTTACACCATTCTCTTACTTCATGACCATTTTACTAATAATAATTCTATTATAATATTAAAAATTCATAATAATTAAAAATTTGTTTAGACGTGACATATGTCACATCATGATGTGATAAAAATAGTGTAAAAAGTGGTGTAAAGATAGTATTACTTTTTGTTTATATGTACACGATTTGAGTTTTTATATAGATTGTCTTTACCTTATTAGAGAAACAAGATGTCATTTTCCATGCAAGGGATATATGTCATTGTTTTTTTTTTTTAACGAATATTACTATACCTCTATATATTTACATGGTATTGAGAGTAGGGGCGGACCCAGGCCCCTTGAGGGTAGGCCCAGGCCTGCCCTCAATTTTAAGAAAAAATTTGAAAAGTTATTTTGAAAGGTCAAAAAAAAAAAAAAAAAAAAGAACAGTTAAAAAATTAAAAGGTTAGGTTTTGTCTTTTTTATATTAAGTTTTTCTTTCCCAATTCCCAACTCCCCTTTTACATACAGATCTAGATTTGGACGGATTGTAATCCATAATTTTATAAACTTTCGTGTACTTTACTTTTGTTAGAGTTGTGATTAAACTCTCAATTTGTGTAGAATATTTTTAGTGGATTTGTGGTTGTTGTAAATGATAATCTTATTTTTTCCTATGATTTTGCATTAAATTTCGATAAGATTTAGGATACTTCTCATACAATTTGGGTCATAGTTGTTACCTAATTCTATTAATTTGTCTTTACAGGCCTAAACAATGATTTTGAGCATAAATTACAGTTTTGAACGTAAATTACGTAACTTGAGCTTGGAAACTCATAATGACCTGATTTTAGAACTTTTGGAAAGCTAAGAAGCAGAGCTATAACTTTTATGTTTTGGGTTTTTCCTAATTCTGACTGGACAAGGGTGAAAACTTGGCTTGAAGTCGTAAACAGTACATTGGAAACTAAAGAAAAACGTCTTTAGATGTGCTTCAGTATTTCTATCATAACTTGAGTTGTAGACCTCAGATTGTGCTGATTCTTGAACGAGTAGAAAGATAATTTAAAGGGCTACAATTCATATGTTTAACACTTTTCCATATTTAGACTCTTTCATGCTCAAATTTGGCCCGAACGATTCTCGTCATGGCAAGAAAAAAGCTTCACTGCGGCGAAACTGCGTCAGATGTGAAAAATAAAACGACACGTTTTGGCTTGCTAGGGCTTTGTCCTTAAGTGAAAGAGGTATAAATTAGCACGAAAATGAAAGAAAAGGGGTCTTGGTTCTTCATTTGGAAGGCAGTTCTTGGAAGGAGAAGATTATTGAAGATTTAGGCTTCAAATTAGAGAAGATTTCTCCATCTTTTGCTTGTTTTTCAATGATGAATCTTGATTCAGTTTGTTTTTGTTATTTTGTTTTGTTTTTCAGTATGAACTGAGTTGTTTAGCTAGGGTTTGATGTAACATTTATACAATGATTCAAATTTATATGAATTGATTTACTTTTAGTTTTAATTTCATGATTGAGTGTTTATCTCTTTGCTTAATGACTTTTGGATGTTTGATCATTCAAATGTGTGTTATTCACAATAAGACTGAGAAGTGATTTGTGATTGTGCCTCTTGGGATAAATACCGTAGATTAAGCAAACGCTAGAGATAGGTTTAGCAATTTATGAAATCTAGATAGAATTTCATAAAGCTTAAAAGACTTTGAACTATTAATCTTCATTTTGTTGGGTGCGGAAGCTTAATAAAGATAAGTAGGAAAATATAGCCTGAGAATGTATGTTTTACAACTTGGGAATTCCATTTTCAATCAAGGAATTAGAACTTGGGTAATAGATTCTATGATTCGGGTTAGTGTATCTAGGTGAAATCAACACCCTAGCATTTTTTTTAGCATTTTGTTTAATTAGTTAAGTTGTTGTGTTTTGCTTTAATTTCATTATCATTCATTTATATTTTCTTAAATTGTATTTAGTTCGTTAATTTTTCATCAATCCAATTTATTGTTGCTTCAATTAAGACTTAAACTAGAGAAATCGGCACTTAGTAACACTATCCTCGTGGGAACGATATTCTATTAATCATTTTACTACTTTTTGCGACCAGTGCACTTATTACATTTGCATGTTTGTCAAAAATACGCATCAGTAAACTCTTTTGATTATATTGGATTTAAGTGGATCATTAGATTCTCATGGTTTTTTTATCTCTTTACATTAAAGAGGTTTTTCCACGTAACAATTTTCTTGTGTTTCCTTGTGAATTAGATATTATTTTCTTATGTTTTCACTAGTTGATTGGCAAACAGTGGCGGAGCGAAGGGGCCCCCCCGGGCAAAAATCCTGGGTCTGCCACTGATTGAGAGGCCCTATATTTGTAAAAAAATAAATAAATAAATTATATTAGACAATCTTATTATCTTTCCTTATTGACAATCGTTTAATGATATATGTTGTCACATATTTATCATATTTTTCTTTTAATTCATCCACTCATCACCATGATCCAAGAATAACTAATTATTATCCATTAATAACCACAAGTCCACAACCATAAAAGGTAGTTTTAAAAATTAAATATATATATCTTTATTTTCTTGGACGATCTTACCCCAGATAATGAGAGTACGAGACCATGAGACAATCTCATACAAGTTTTGCTCGATATTTGTTTACCATAATGGATTTCAATGATATTCGTTTTGAATAAATTTTTTAAATTGTTTCCTGAACGACATGTCGTATATCTTTAAAACGAATGTCATATAGTAAACGGATGACGTGTCCTATCTTATATGATCAATTTCCAATACACCCCTTGTGGATATGCAAATATCGATAAGCCCCTATATTACAAATCTTTGTGGACTAAAGGCTGCCAGTATCCCTTTGTTCGAATTAATTCTCCACATTCCGAATATGTCATTAATTACAATTTTATCCTTAATCAAAATTACTTGAAAGTCACATAATTTTTTAGAAAAAAGAAAATTCATACCACCTACATTAATTTCTCTTTTAAGCATCATTTTTACTCTAATACTTAATTTAAAATAAATTTGAAATTTTCACAAATGTATACAGTGTTTGACTTAATGAACAAAAATATGATAAAATAAGAAGAATTTGTTATTAAGAAATAAACTGTCAATTTTTTTGGTTTTTAGTGATTTACCTTAGATAATATATTGAAGAGCAAACGATATATTCCCACCCGAGGTTTAGCGAAATCTCAAGTTTATATCTTTGGTTGCATTTATTTCAAATTTTCACCTTTAATAACGTTGTTTCCTTCATTTTAACAGATTTTCAACTCTTTACTCTACCGTGACACACGTTAGCATGCTAAATTATGCCAGCGCTTTATTTGGGACAAAACAGTCTCATGTTAGCAAAAAAATGCTCACATTAGTAGCATCCAAGCTGATAGTTTTTGGGTTTTTTCGGCTGATTCCAAAGTCCAAAATTACTTCCGAGACTATCGTTGGACTTCCCACAACCTCCTCTACAGAACCCATACTTTCACTTGCCAACCTCACTCACCTCTCCGACTAACTCCAATAGTTACCAACAATGTTAGTTTAATAAATGCAACCATGGATATCAACTTAGGATTTCGCTACACCTCAGGTGGGAATATGTCGTTTACTCTATATTGAAATATCAACAAAATTGGATGGTAGGATTGTAAATCATGACATAATATTTTTCTTAAAAAAATACTTTTAAAGAATTTTATTGGTGCCTTGGGTCATGGATTACTCTTGAGAATACACGAGTGTGCGATGTGAAGGGCCACCAAGCGATCTACAGTTGTCATCAGTGTGGATGGGGCTAAAGTCCAATAGTGATGCACACAATTAACCAGATGCTAAATATGAAATCAAGATGAGCCACAGCAGCTAATATAAAGAAGGTCAAGATCAGGGGATGAACCATCTCAACTTCCTTGATAATGTAGACCATCCACAATCTAAGGGATTCCCAGATGAGCCATCAGCTTAGACATTGACAGAAGATGATAAGATTATTCTGGTAAGGATAAAGGGTAACATTCATGAAGTTGGGTCATTTCACGATTCACCAAATATTGCTCTTGCAATGCAATAAGCAACTCAACATTTTTACCGCAACTGAAAACAAAGCTAGTAAGCTATCAAACCAATCTATATTTTGCCCCCACAACCACTTTAACTCTTCATTGATTCCCTCCACCTATCTAACACAGATATGGAGTTACTTCGTGATAACAACTAAGATTTTGCTAACTAAAACTGCACATTTTACCTAATTTCGTCCTCGTACCACCATAATAAATACCCTCTCTCCTCGTTTCGAAGTTCATCAAACACTTCTTTCATTAATCCTTTGCATTGTTTTCTGCAAGGACTAATATTCTTTGCATTTGCAATTGTTTTCTAGCAGTAACAACAACACTCAAAAAACAAGAAAGATGATGATGAAACAATCTTCATTCTCTTTTTCAGTTATCCTCCTCTTTCTCCTCCATTGTACCACAACACTAGCCCAGCCAGCCGCTGCACCGGCTGTACCAGCTGGCCCAACCGCAGCTCCTCCACCGGGTCCAATCGTAACTCTAACTCCACCCCCTCTTGGAGCTCCAATTCCTTCAGGACCCATCAATGTCATCAGAATCCTTGAACAAGCAGGCCGGTTCACACTCTTTATTCGCCTCCTAAAAGCCACTACTGTCATTGACCAGATCGAGCATCAACTCAACAACACAAACGGTCGCATGACAATCTTTGCACCAACCGATAGTGCGTTTTCCACTCTCAGTTCAGGCACTCTAAACTCCCTAACCGATCCACAGAAAGAATCACTCATTCAGTTTCATGTACTCTCTTCGTATATCGCGCAATCACAATTTCAAACTGCAAGCAACCCATTAAGAACAAATGCGGGAGACAACAGTAGATACAGATATCAGCTTAATGCGACCTCTTACTCTAATTCAATCAACATATCAACAGGTATTACTAATGCTAGTGTGTCTGCTGTGATATATTCTGATGGGCAGCTTGCTGTTTATCAAGTGGACAAGGTGCTGCTTCCTTGGGAAATTTTTGGCTCTAAGCCTCCAGCAACGGCTCCAGCACCAGCACCCCTTGCACCAGCACTCGCACCTGGGAAACCTAAGAAGGTGAAGCCTACCCCCATTGCAGTTACTCCTGTTAATGATGATACTACTAAAGTGGATGCCTCTGGTGCAGCGAGTCTGATGACCATGCAAAATGTGGTATTCTTTTTCGCTGTTATGGTTGCACCAATCATTTTTTCTTAGGCAAATGGAACGGTACTGGTGATCGATTATCAGTCTATATATTTACGATGAGTGCTTTGCAGTAACTGTCATTTCTCTATATATGTACTAAGGCAATATATATATGTGTATGATTTTGCCTGTTTGAGTTTGAATTTTGAGGATTATTTATGTTATCTAAGTCTAGTTATATAAAATTTGGAATTGTACTGCAGAAGTTTGGTTGTGGAGCGATATGAGGGCTATGACATTTAGTTAGCTAGGCTCATTACTCTTCCAGATGACCACAACCCAAAAATAATCTCTCATGTATCACACTATAAGATTTCCCTGCTGATTTATATATATATATATATATATGAGGAGTTCAGATCATCACTAATCGAATGCGTTTAATTGTATTTGTAATATTATTTTTCCTATAATAATACATAAATTATATATAGAAAGTTTGTCATAAAATAAATATCCAAATGAATACTTATATCACATATGTGATTATCGGGTCAATGTTGTTGAATTTTGATCATCGCTCACTTCTTAGTTAGCTGCTCCTGACTCTTCTCCAGTAATTGCATACTATAATAAAAGAACTTTTTTATAGTCATAATATTGGATCAGTTAAATTTACTATGAAGAGGTTATAACTTAATAGAGAGGTATAGTTACAATAATTATTATTTTGATTTCTTATTTTATAATTCATGTTTTAATAATATTAGGATTTCAATTCACTGTTTTAAGTAACATTAGAATAGTACGGAAATGAATATCAAAGAGTCATTACAAAATTGAGTGATCAGATTCGATAACTTCATTATATTAATCAAATGGATATTAATATCTTCTTTAATCATCCAAATGAGCAACAAGTCGTGTATACTAGCTTTAAGTGAATAAGAAATCATCACTAGAATTAGAGAAGAAGAGAACTGAGATAATTCTGAGGATGATAGTACATAAATACCAAAAGTTTTATGTGAAGAAGCTCTAAAACATGTTTGAGAAATTAGAAATATTTTTGTTTCAATAAGAAGTTGTCCATGCTGGTGACTTATTACGTACCCATAAAATAAAAGATGTAGTAACAATTCTAAAGCATAAATCATTGTCTCAAAAGAAGCTCTAAAACATGTTTGAGAAATTAGAAATATTTTTGTTTCAATAAGAAGGTGTCCATGCTGGTGACTTATTACGTACCCATAAAATAAAAGATGTAACAATTCTAAAGCATAAATCATTGTCTCAAACAACTTTAACTAAACATTTTATTTCATCTTAAACTTTTAATGTAACATAGCATATATTTTTTTTGCAATATACATATAATTATTACTATGTAGAGGTAAGTTCCTTAAGATAAAACTTAGGAAAATTATAACTTATTACAATGTAAAATTTATTTTTGTTTATAACAGGTACAAATTGAGACACCGTGTTTTCTGGAGGCAAAATAAAATCACAAAAAAAATATGCTGAATAAATTTTCCCACCCAAAGTAGACTGTACACTTTTCCACCCGCAACCTTTGAAAAAAAACATTTTCCCACCCATCGTTAATTCCTGTCAATCAATTATGTTATCTTAGGGGTATAGTAGCAAAAAGACTATAATATGCTTTACTGTCTGTCTTTACCATTTTTAATGAGGCTAAATACCATTAAATGTATGTTCACCCATAGTTTGTTTCATATTAACTTTAAGGTCAAAGAGTTAAAAAAAATTTAGAAAAAAATCAATTATTTAAAAAATTAACAAAAAAAAAAAATCGTTCACAGCCTTTGTTGTCAACGACAGAATCGCACCAATCCAAGTGTGATTCCAGCCAAATCGTACCTGGGCTGGTTGATCCAATCAAGTCGTACCTAGCCCAATGAGATTTAGTGACGCCGACGGAATTGTACTTGGCCAAATGAATTTCTTTCTGTTTTTGAATTATTATTATTTTTTTGAATATTTCTGTTTTTTTACTTTTGGAAGTTTTTGTTTTCTTTTTTACAAATTTTCAGTTTTCCTTACTTTTTTTGAAAATTATACTTTTATATAATTTCATAAAATATATATATATATTTTTTTTAAATTACAAGTTTAATGAAAATTGTTTTGTAGTTTTATAATTTTTAATTTACAGATATAACTACAAATAAAAGTTTTTGCATTTTTTTATGGAAACACAATTATAATTTTAGTGAAAGTATAGGGATAAAATTGCAAACCTAAAAATCTGTGGACACATATGTAATTTCAGTGATCAATCTGGTCAATCCTCTATTTTAATAGTAAAAATTGAAAATAGGGGTTCTAAGTGACTAATTTCCAAGTTGGTGAAGGAAATAGTGATCTATTTGTATTTTAGGGGTGTAAGTGACATTAACCCTATAAAATATATTGTATAAATTGACGAGAATGTCCTTCTACCGCTAAAACTAAAGTCTGAATTTTGACTATTAATGGGAATTTTTTTTTATTTTTTTTCAAAGTTTAAGGTGGGAAATTGTAAATGCACCGAACTTCGGGTGGGAAAGTTTCATTCAGCCCAAAAAAATATCAGAGTTCTTTCATATTTCTGAAAGTTTGGCAGGAAAAACTCAAAATAGTGAAGCACTAAGGTTTTTTTATTTTTTTTCCTGATAACAGAGAATAATAAAAAAAATATTACAAACACAAGCATGAATTCTGCAAGTCTGCGCATTATTGGAAAATCCGGCAAATCATATTCCAGTCCATTAGGGAAAATGCACCCAATAACCCATCTTGTCCTCTTAATGTTAAGAAAAAGTAATTAATGGTGCGACCATAGCAACCCCAAACAAAACCACATTTTGCATGGTCATTACCAGGCTCACTGCGCCAGAGGCATCGGCGGCATCTGTTTTACTATCATCAGGACTGTATGCAACAGTCGCAGGCTTCTCCTTCTTAGGCTTTTCAGGTCCCGGTGCCGGAGCAGTTGCTGGAGGCTTAGCTCCAAATATTTCCCAAGGAAGAAGGACCTTATCAACTTGATAAATGGCAAGCTGGCCATCTGAGTATACGATAGCAGCTACACTAGTGTTAGTAAGGCCTGTTGATATATTCACTGAATTGGGATAAGCGGTGGCATTAAGCTGATATCTGTATCTACTATTATCTCCCGCATTTGTTCTCAATGGATTACTCACTGTTTGAAACTGTGATAACGAGATATACGAAGAGATTACATGAAACTGAATCAACGATTCCTTCTGTGGGTCGGTGAGGGAGTTGAGAGTGCCTGAACTGAGACTAGAAAACGCACCGTCAGTTGGTGCAAAGATGGTGAGGCGACCGTTTGTGCTGTTGATTTGATGCTCGATTTGGTTAATGACAGTGGTGGATTTAAGAAGGCGAATAAAGAAAGTAAAGCGGCCAGCTTTTACAAGGATTTTGATGACATTAGTGGGGCCAGACGGAATTGGAGCTCCAATAGGGGGTGGATTTATGGTTACGATTGGGGTCATTGGACTCGGTGGAGTTGGAGCTATGGTAGGGGCGCTCGGTGGAGTTGGTTTAGTTGGTGCAGCTGGAGCAGCAGCCGGCTGGGCTTGGGTTGAGGTGCAATGAAGGAGAAAGAAGAGGAGAAGTGAAAAAGAGAAGAAAGATTGTTTCATCATCATCTTTCTAGTATTTTGATTGTTTCAGCGTTTGTTGGTAGAAAAGAATAATTAATGTACAAATGTTTAATGCAGGACTAGACTATACACAAATTGTTTGATGAATTTGGGATAAGTTGAGAGGCTTTTATAATAGCGTTAAGAAGATGAAGCTAGTTAAAATGTGTTACTAAGTAGTAATCACTAAAATCAATCTTTGTTAGATAGGTGGAGGGGAATCAATGAAGAGAAATATGATACTATCCCGGCATCTAGTTAATTTGTCTGAAAAGGCAGGAAAAGACCGAAGAGATTTCAAGTGATTTTCTGGGCAAATGTATGATAGCTTTAGCTAATTAATTTGAGTACTTGCACATATCACCACGATCTGAGCCAGAGAAAGAAGATTTATTTTGCAAAAGCAATGAATAAAGATGAAGGGTGATTTTTGAAATGGACTCTCGTTAATGCTATCCATTATCCTCACGAAAATTATATTCTGTCAAATGTTAATGTCAACGCTGATGGCTCATCTGGATCCCTCGCTTATGGCTGCTAAACATCAGCATGGAAGTTAAAACGGTTGATGGTTCATATTTATTTATTTATTTTATCAGTTTAGTATTTGGTGTGGAGTTAGTAGTAGAGATAGCCTGAACCACCGGGAAGTGTAGAGTGTGACGTATATATATATTTTTTGTTTAAATACTACTAATATTACCATTCCTATACTTCTTAACTAACAATTACTACCACTAGTCATAAGTCATTGTAAACGTACTATTTAAATAAGGGTTTAACACCGTTTAAAAGAGGTAAAAAAAGTCAAACACAAAGAAAAGAACGAAATAATGGAAGATTTAGATTGTAGTATGTTCAAATTTATGTTGCTTAAATATAAACATTTGTGCTTACCAGTCTATAGTATTAAATAACAAAATTAAGTAATTTTTTTCTCAAATTATCTAGTGAAAAGCTTTTTTGATTAATCGGTTTGATATGAATTTATGTAGATTATTTCGTGAGATTATATATTAAATCTTATTGCCGTTCATTATTTTTCATACTCTAGAAGAAGAAAAACTTGGTCTTGAAGCTCAATATTCATCTAACCCACCTGACATGTTACATGCTCTAGCTGCAGAATCTCCCCTTATTTCCGTCCAGTCTCTTTGCATGACCGGCAGGCGGCAACATTTCTCCTTTTCTTCCACTAACTCTTTGCATGCACCCCAGGATAATATAAAACACCACGCCCGCCGCCCCCCCCCCCAAAACAAAAACACACTCTCTTCTTCTCACTTAGAATGGAGACACAAACGGGTGCTGATGGAAATCACCTATTCAAGACATTGAGTAGTTTTATGAGAAAATGCATGCTTAGAATGCTCTCGGTGGGTGCCATTACCAATCACATTGCATTTATCTTGGATGGCAACCGACGATATGCCAAGAAGCACAATCTGATAGTGCAAGAGGCAGGCTACAGGGCTGGATTTTTGGCTCAAATATTGCTCTGAATTGGGAGTGAAACATGTCTCAATTATCGCTTTCAGCATTGACAATTATAAGAGAAAGCCCAGTGAAGTTCAGTATATCATGGATTGGATTCAACGCTAGAGAGGATTTAGGTGTTGCTCCTGGAAGAAAAGTATCGTTCACCAAGACAATGTCAGAGTACGTTTTATAGGTAACACCGTAACATGGGGCTCCTTCATGAGCCAATCAGGGTTGCAGCTGAAAAGGTCATGAGAGCTACCGCCAAGAACACCAGGATCGTCATTCTCATCTGTTTGGCCTATACTTCCAACCACAAGTCATGTATGCTGTCCAAGAATCCTGCATTTATAAATCGATGGACCAGGCTCAAGCATTGAAGCCAAGTACAGAAGAGCTTGAAAATAAACAGTAGATGGCTGTTATTAAACTGGTAGATGTCGAGAATCATATACATATGGATGTAGCACCGGACCCTGACATCCTTATTCAAACTTCTGGTGAGAACCGCCTGAGCAATTTCCTTCTATGGCAAAGCAGTAACTGCCTCCTATATTCCCCAGCCGCACTGTGGCCAGAGATTGTTTTGTGGCACTTGGTTTCGGCAGTATTAAACTTCCAAGTTCCAACGATGCCACTCTTACTTGGAAAAGAAGAAAAAGCAACTTTAGAGCATTATCAGCCCCCATTACAGTTTATTGCAATAACAGTATCTACGACTATTGTACCCAGATTTAGACTATCATTCCTGAATTCCTAAAGAAGCTTAAAATGGTAAGAATGGTTTGCAGCTATTAATCTACTTTAAAATCTATAATACTCTGACCTGATATTTATATTGCTGATGGGATTAGACAGTTATAAAAGCCAATGCAGGGGAACCTTCTAATAATAAAGCCATATTGTAACACTTTCATGCAACCCTTACCAAGTACTGACTGAAATTAAGCATTTGAAAGACAAGGAAAAATAACTACAAAGTGAGAAGTGGTCATAAATGAAGTGGACATAATTACTTAGACCTACCCATCCTGATAAATAATTTAATTTCGTCAACTATAGTAACAGTTAAATCACAAGGCATTAATGGAGGACGCACCAATGTTCCTGTATGCATTATCAGAGTTAACAATTATGCATGGTTCCAATCTTCAGTTGCTGAATAGTCAACACCATTTTACTATAGCATACTCCTTCTATGGACAAAAACAAAATCAAGCCTAGAGCTTCACTGTCTAAGCAGCTCAGATGAGGTAAGAGTTAGGATTGTCATCTCCATTAGCGTGTTTCCTAGGTCCTATCCTTCCCCTATCTCAGCTAATTTCCTCTCTGACAAGGCATCCTCAGCTTTTATTTTCTCAGGAACAAAATCTAGACAGAAAAGATATTTAGTAATCAGCATAAATGATAGCAAGGTGAGAGGAAAATTTTCAAAACATTTACATCTAAGAAGATATATAGGCCAGAGAGAATATTGTAGAGTACCTGAGAGAAAATCATATCTCGTTTGTTTAGAAACGACTGATGCTGAAACAAGAAGAATGAAGGATCTTAATACTACATTAGTTGAATACCATAACTCAAATTTTGCAACAATTTATAGTATCAAATCATTCAAACTGTAATCAAACAACTATCTACTTTCGGTTGACATAAATTGGAATATGACATGTAATCGGATTAGAATTCAGATTTCTGTTCAACCAAAACCTTATCTGGTGAATTTTTTAGATCTTCACAGTAGCACTTTGGATTCTATATGAACAATTTCCAATCAAGCAACTGGAGAATTCAAATGCTAATTCAAGCTACAATAGCATGTGCCCAAGCAAAAAATTACATGAAGTAATTTTATGTCAATTGGATTTAATCTGACACACCTGTCAAAGAAGGGTTTTCATTTTTCTTTTGTGTGTAGCATACACAGAGGGAATGTATCCATCTATTTGGGCCTTTTGCTATTTTCTGTATCACAAACTTAGGGAAAAAATTGAGTTGTTGAGGGACAAACTGGATTTCCATAGAGAAAACTAAATGCTCTTTCAGAGGGAAAGAAACACATCTATTTTTGCTTTCAGAAAAGAAACTTTTTCTATTCTTGCCAGAAGTTCTTGTTCTCATGTCATCTGCATTGGCATTTAATGCAAAATCTTCAAATAGGATAGAGGGGCAGAGAAGAGAGTAGAGTTAAGAGTGGGACAGATGAAGAGATGAGGGCTGAGCATATTTTTTGCAGAAAGAAGAAACAAAGAGGAACCAGAAAGTCCTTGTTACCATGGATTTGGCTTCTTGGGATTCATTCATGGAAACAATGGAAATAGATAAAATTGCCCTACCAAATTTTCATTATAAAGTGAAGAAGGTTTTTACCCCTTTTTAGTGTTCCAATTTACAAAGACACATGCGAACGTAATTCTTACAGTGAATTTAGAAAATAAACAAACCAATGTTCAGTGGCGCATAAGTTGTTCGATATTAAATTTGTAAGTTGATCATGTCTCACTTTTGTGAGTAAACGATAAATGATTATAACCGAACAAGTACATGTCAATCCAATTAAACAACCTTCAATTCAAGTGTCTCAAAGGTTCAAAGATGCACCGAAGGTCATATTACATAAAATATAGCACAGTTGATAATACAACAACCAAGAGGTAAAGTTTGAATAAAATAAATAAACTAAAAGGGTACATTTTGATTTTGAATAGAAGAACCAGAAAACACATTTTGATTAAGTACCAAGTAGCATGAAGGTTTGACAATCATAGAGAAAAACAATGGAGATGCAGTACAAGTTACCACACTGTAAGAATCACGTATCCTTCAAGATGTTAATCAACATAACTATAAATCCCAGAATCTACAAATACATGAAAATGGCAAAAAGATTACTCTTCAAATGCCAAAAGCCCCAACCAGTCAGTTCTATAATCAAGCAAACTAAAAGAAAAAGCAGTAAAACCCTAAAATTAAAAATTGATTGAAAAGAGTAATTACCTAAGTGCTTGTAAGCAACAGACTTTTTACGATCCTTAACACAACATGCATATGCATCTTCACTAAACTGCTCAAGAAACTTCTCCTGCCACCAAGAAAAACCATGATAAATTATTTAACAAATGTTATCACACAGCATTTGTATCAAATTTTGTCAAAACAAATTTCTATCAATGCCGACAATCTCAAATGTAGATCTTCAAAAAGAAACCTAACAAATAAAAAATACCTAATTTTTTACCTAAAATTCAATTGAAAAAATTAAAGCAAAAGAAGAGAAGAGAAAATACCGTAGCTTTGTTAACGAGAAAAACAGCATCCCCAGTTAATGCAGAATCGAAACCTTGAGTTTTCATAATCCTTTTAATCCTACTCATGGGAAAGACAGAATCTTTCGTGTCCTCTTTCTCTTCCTCATCGTCAAGCTCTCGTTTTTTACTGCTTTTCTTGGGTTTCTTGCTGCCGCTGTGCTGATTTTTACTGGGCTCCAGACTTCTCTTCTTCTGGGGTTGTTCTTGTTGCGATTCATTGCTTGATATCGGTGTCGCAACATCCTCGGAGTCGCTTACGACACCATTGCTGATCTTGTTGATACTATTATGTTTCTTTGGAGTTGTCTTCGGTGTGGTCTTGGTGTTGGCCTCCTCCTTCTTCTTCTTCTTCTCCGGTGTTTTGACTTTAGGTTTGGTTTCATTGGTTTTCTTCTTCTCTTCCTCTTTCTTTTTCTTCGAAGAACCCATTATTTAGGAGCAGCAGCTGCAAAGCTGCTTTGCCCTGTTACAGAATCCAGACACTGCCCTGTTTTTAGATTTTCGTTCTCTGAGCTACAGCTGATATGAATATGGTCCGGGCTTTTAGAGGCCCAATTTGAATTGAGCTCAACTTGACTCGGACCTAGAGATTTGGGCCCAATGGGGTTGGATCGGCTCAATCAATTCGATTTCTCTATTTGGTAGGTATAATCAAATCAAATGTGAACCTAGTTCCACTTGGTATATTTATGAGTCAAAACTCCACAACCTAACCCTTTTACAATTCTAAATGCAACATCACTCTAGGACTAAAATAGGGGATATTGTCTCCCCCATAACATAGTATTTTTTTATTAAACCATACCAACTTCTTCAATCATTTGTAAAGTTTGTTAATTCATGCTCCTCTTTAGTATAAGCCGGACCTAATTATGTCACTAAGAATTCAACTTTCTTGAAAAGTATAAAAAAATAGAAAATTATGAGCAAGAAAATGGAGTTTGGCTAGTTGTGGAAATGTCATAAAAAAAAGCATTTAATAGATATGCCCAATTCTTTTGTTGAAGAGTGGCTTTAAGTGGTAGGACTTGGATTTCACATATCTTTTTCACACCGCCCAGAATCAGCATTCACCTTAGAGTCAATAAATGCGTCCACTTTTATTATTATTATTGTTAGAACTCAAGCCTAATTTTGATCTACTCACCAACACAAAACAATCACACCAAGATTCAAGATTAAAACAAACACACAATCAAGACACGATTTACCGTGGTTCACTTATCCTTTTATGGATAAGCTACATTCACGTTGAGCTCAGGAACGGTATGAGCTCGTTGCATTTTCTATTATCAAGAACAATCAAGATTACACAGATTCGACACTCACCAGATCTACACAAATGCAAACTGCAATCAGCTTAACAAGATACCCTCTAAGTATCCCTAACCCGAGAGAACAACACTCTCACTCGAATGATTAATCTCTCTAACCACTCGAACTGATTACATCACAATCTAGAATAATAATCTCAACCCTAACTCAGAAAATGCAAACCCAGAAAAAACCCTAAGAAACGTGTGTCTCTTTTATTTTGCACGAAAGAGAGTTTATATATGGTTTGACTGAGTGACTGATTCTGGCCGTTAGATCTAGAGTGCATCCTGCGGTCTAAATTTGTCTCGGTTATTATGCCTAAAACGACGTCGTATTCCTTTACCCAAAACGACGCTGTTTCAGGCTTACACTTTAACAATCTCCACCTTGGAAGCACTGGAAACAATCTCTTTGTGCAGCTTGCCCAGTACCATTCTGTCATAGCTCTTTATCACTCCAGACTACTTGATATACAGCAAGTTCAAGCAGTGCTTGAACTTGGCTGGGGTGATAATCTTGGTGCCCATATCTGCTGGATTCTCTTATGTGGGTACCTTCTTAAGTTCAATGATTCCACTTGCAACTTGATCCCTCACGAAGTGATAGCGGACATCCACATGTTTAGTTCTTTCGTGATACACTAGATTTTTGCTTAGATGAATCGCACTCTGACTATCTGAATACAATGTCACCTTTCTACCAATTAGGTTTACTTCTGTCAGAATTCCTTTTAGCCATAAGGCTTCTTNGGAGTGATAATCTTGGTGCCCATATCTGCTGGATTCTCTTATGTGGGTACCTTCTTAAGTTCAATGATTCCACTTGCAACTTGATCCCTCACGAAGTGATAGTGGACATCCACGTGTTTAGTTCTTTCGTGATACACTGGATTTTTGCTTAGGTGAATCGCACTCTGACTATCTGAATACACTGTCACCTTTCCACCAATTAGGTTTACTTTTATCAGAATTCCTTTTAGCCATAAGGCTTCTTTAACTGCATCAGTTACTACAATGTACTTTGATTCTATTAAAGACAGTGCTACAATGGGCCGCGACTGTGATTTCCAGCTTATACAATTTCCACCCAGTGTAAAGAAATATGCAGTAGTTGATTTCCTGGTATCCTTATCACCTGCAAAATCAGCATCTACAAACCCAACCAGATCAAGTGCAGTATTTCTTTTACAGTATTCATGCCCAACACAAACAGTACTGTTTATATATTTCAGCATCCATTTTAGAGTAGTCCAATGTTCCATACCAGGGTTGGACATATTCCTGCTTAACATGGAAATGGCAAAGGCTAAGTCTGGCCTAGTACTAATCATGGCATACATCAGTGACCCCACAACATTAGCATAAGGAACAGATTCCATTTTCAACAGTTCTGACTCAGTTTTGGGACATTGGGACTTACTAAGTATAAACTAGCTGGTTAAGGGCATTGAGACTAGTTTGGCACCAGCCATGCCAAACTTTGTGACTAGCTTTAGTAAGTAAGATTGTTGCTGTAGTCTAAGTTCACATCTCTTTCTATCCTTATTTATTTCCATGCCTAGAATTTTCTTTGCATTTCCTAGGTTTTTCATGCTGAATTCAGTGTTTAGCCTCTTCTTCAATTCACTGATCTGGGTTTTTGACTTACTGATCAGGAGCATGTCATCAACATATAATAACAAGTAGATAGGCAGATTATTGTCCATTTTAAAATAGAAGCAACTATCATATTGACTTCTAGTGAATCTTATACCTATTATAAAGGTGTCAAACCTTTTGTACCATTGCCTAGGGGACTATTTTAACCCATATAGAGACCCTTTTTGAAGGCATGCATGGTCAGGGAACTTAGGGTCAGTAAACCCTATAGGTTGGATCATATAGATTTTTTCTTCTAGTGTTCCATGAAGGAATGCAGTGGTGACATCCAACTGCTCTAATTCCAAGTCTTGATAAGCAACTACAAACAGCTTCAACCTAATTGTTTTGTATTTTACCACAAGGGAGAAGACTTCATTGAAGTCTATCCCCTCCCTTTGGGTGTAGCCCTTAGCCACAAGTCTGGCTTTATTCCTAGGTGGGTCAGCTATGGAAATGCCCTCTTTAAGTTTGAATAACCACTTACATTGGGTCAGCTTCTGATTACTTGGTTTTGGAACCAATGTCCAACTTTCATTTACCTTTAAAGATTACATTTCCTCCTCCATAGCTGTTCTCCATTTGTCCCTATCCTTGGATTCCATGGCCTCTTGATATGTATCAGGTTCAGACCTAAGCACCTCAGTACCTGCAAGCAGAGCAGTGTAAATTAGTTCTACATATGAATACCTTGAGGGTAGTTTTACCTCTCTTCTTGTTCTGTCTCTGGCCAGTTGATAATTTGTCAGTTCATTTTGTTGTGGTTCTAAGAACTCTTCTGCTTCTTCATCTTCAGCTTGATCAGGTTCCTCAGATGCATTTTCAGTTTCAGGCTACTGGGTAGTTTGTGCTTGTGCTTGAGGTGGGTTTAATTGATGGGTTATAGGCTCCACCTTAATTTGAGTGGTACTGGTCTGTCTGGTAACTACTTCTGTGCTTTCGGCGGTACCTTCATCAGGGTTAGTGCCTTTGCATGGGAATACTCCCTCATTAAACACAACATCCCTGCTCACTATGATCCTGACCCCTAGTGACTCTTTGTCCCATAGCCTGTATCCTTTTGTGCCCTCAGGATATCCAAGGAACACACACCTAGTTGATCTTGGTTCCAGTTTTCCCCCCACTATGTGAGCATATGCAGCACAACCAAACACTCTTAGATGCCCTAGTTTTGGTCTTCTTCTAGACCATCTTTTTTCTGGACTGATTAAACTTATTGCTATGGAGGGACTCCTATTCACTAAATAGGCAGTTGTGGAGAGTGCCTCTCCCCGGAATGTTTTTGGAAGGTTTGAAGTGATCAATAGGCACCTAACTTTATCTAGAAGTGTTCTATTCATTCTCTTAGCAACCCCATTTTGCTGAGGGGTATTTCTCACTGTCCTATGCCTCAAGATCCCCTGTTCACTACAAAACTTATCAAACTCCAGATTACAGAACTCAAGCCCATTGTCAGTCCTAAGGGTTTTGACCTTTTTGCCAGACTGGTTTTCAACTAGGGTTTTCCAGTCTCTAAACTTTGCTAGGGCTTGATCTTTTGATCTAAGTAAGAATACCCAAACCTTCCTGCTATAGTCATCTACTATTTAGAGGAAATAACTGTTTCCACCATGAGATTTAACCTTTTCTGGCCCCCATAAATCAGAATGTAGATAATCCAAACAGTTGTTTGCTAAGTGAACTCCCTTAGGAAAACTGTTCTTGTGCTGTTTACCAAGTACACAATTTTCACAGAATTCTAAAATAGTGACAGTATCTTTCCCAAACTGTCCTAGCCGATTTAGTACATCCATCCCCTTTTGACTCATGTGGCCTAACCTCAAGTGCCACCTTTCAGTTACTGATAAATTTGGAGACCCAAGAGTTGTGCTGTTACAATCAGAATAAAACTACCACAAAGTACATAGAGACAATTTTTCTTTTCTCCTGTCAACACAAGATTTTCATTTTTATAGACATTCAATCACCCACTATTTGCCTTATAGCAGCAGCCTGCTTCATCTAGGGTGCCTAATGATATGAGGTTTCTTTTTAAGTCAGGTATATGAGGTTTCTTTTTAAGTCAGGTATATACCTGACTTTGGTTAACCTTATTAGTTTTCCCCCACTTAACCTAAGGGTTATGCAGCCAATCCCCTTAACTCTACATGCTTGGTTGTTCCCCATGTACACTATTTCATGATCAGAATCCTCAAAGTCTTGGAACCAACTCCTATTAGGGCTTATATGGAAAGTACAACCTGAATCTAAAACCCATTCTTTTGTAGTGTCAGATATTGACACTGTTAGGACTTCTGGTTCATCCATTTGGTTACTAGTGGTGGCTAGGTTGCTCTCTGTATTACCCAGTTTCTGGTTTTTTCTTCCAATCAAAACAGTTTTTCTTAGGGGCATGTCTTATTACAGTGGTAACATTCCTGGTTTCTGTTTTTTCTTTGTTGTTCCCCTTCCATTTCTTCTTATTTACCCCCCGATTTGACTGAAATCCTTTACTAGATGAGCAGATTTATTTCTACCCTTCACAAACAGGTGC